CATACCATCGGTCTCATATATTCTAAATAGTCCCTACCTTACTCCACAATACATTTTTGTTTTATAAGGTCAACACTTTACATTTAAACTTTCTTTTTCTTCATTTCTTCTTACATCTTAGACTTTCCATCTGGAATCGTACTCTTTCAGTCTAAAGACATCCTTTAGAATTTTTTTAAAGGAACGTTTATTTCTTTCATTAAAATAAAAAAAGCAGCTTTATACGTATCATATAATCCACCCATTTAAAGTGTACAATTCAATGGCTTCTGGCATATACACAGATTTGTGCAACCACCACCACAATCACTTTCAGAACATTTTCATTACCCCCAAACAGATTTTCTTTCCGTGAGTCTTCAGGTGACAAAATCCCTGGTTTTGTTTGTTCAAAAACATCTCGTAAGATATTTTCTCTCGGTATGGAATCCTAAGTTGACAATTTTCTTTCATTCCAGTTAACACTTATACCAGAGGGTGTCCTTCCAGTTAACACTGGTTGTAGCTGAGACATCTGCTGCTGTGTTGCTCCTTGAAAGGTGATATGTCTTTTCTCTCTAATTTTAAGATCTTTTCTTGGTCTTTGAGTTCTACAATTTTATTACAATATGACTGGGTATGTGGTAGTTTAAAAATACGTCCACAAATTCTTAGTCCTCCCCCCTTCAAGAGGTGGGACCTAATTCTCCTTTTGAGTGTTGGCTGGACGTAGTGACTTGCAACAAATAAAATGTGGCAAAATATCACTTCCAAGACCACGTCATGAAAAGGCCCTAAAGCTCCCTCCTGCTTTTCTCTTTTGATGGCCACTCTGGGAAAGCTGGAGGCCATGTCATGAGGACACTCAAGCAAGCCTTAGGGAGCGGTCCATGATGTAATGAACAGAGCCCTCCAATCTGCAGCCATGTGAGTGAGCTGTCTTGGAAGCAGATCCTCCAGCCCCAGCCAAGACTTGAGATGAATGCAGCCTCAAAAGAAAACCCAAGCTAGAACTACTCAGATTCCTGATCCCCAGAAACTGTGGGATACTAAATACTTGTTTTGTAAGCCCCTGAATTTTGGAGTAATTTGTATGCAGCAATTGATAATACAAGATGTGAAAAAATTTTAAGGAAACTTGCTTATTGAGCTAGGAAACAAACATACAAAAAGTGCACAAAACATATGTATATAGTTCAGTGAACAGTCATAAAGTAAAAATACCTAATTAATCACCACCCAGCACGAGAAACAGAACGTTTGGACACAGGTTTATTTTTATTGCCCTGACTTGAGATTTTTGACTTTCTCAAATCTGTGGATTGGTGATTTTCAAAAGTTCTCAGCCATTGCTTTTTAAATATTGTCTCTGCCCCATGTTTGCCCTTTTTTTCCTGCTGGAACTCCAATCACAGGTTATACTGGATCTTCTCATTCTATCCTCCATGTTTCTCAGCCTATTTTTTCGTATTATCGATCTGTTTATCTCACTGGGCTACATCCTGGAAAACTTCTTCAGATCTTGCTTCCCACTCACGAACTGTCTCTTCAGATTTGTCTAATTCGCAGACACAGGTTTTTAATTGCTAGTATAATATTTTTATTTCCAGAGCATCGGTTTGGTTCTTTTGCAAATCTGCTCCTATTTTCATGGCTTTTTTATTTTTTAAATCATTTTTAAACATATTTAAATTCTATGACTGATAATTCTGGTGTCCGAAGTCTTTGCAAGTCTCATTCTACCATGTCATTTTTGATATCTTTTGCTCTTGGTGCTTTGTTGCCTTGTGTATTGGTGAACTTTTCTGTAAGCTTCTAATTTTTCTTGGAATTTTATCAGTGAGAATTCTTTGAGAACTGAGACAAATAAAGGTTTGTCCAGCAGGATCTGCACTTCTTTCTGTCAAGTGTCTGAGACCACCACCATTCTGGGACCACTTTAGGTTCTTGCTTGAGGTTGCTCGTGCAAACCCACATGAGGGCTGGCTCAGTTCTCAAGGAAGACCTTTTTTCACTCCAACAAGTACCAAGGTTCAATTTTCTTCTGGGATGTATTATTACTAATTTAATATTTATTAATAGAGCAGATTTATTATCAGCTCACAGATGGTGCCACTCTTCGGGGGTCCCAGCTTTATGGGGGGGTCTCATACTAGGCACTTCATTTTTCATTGGTCTTGGGCTGTCTTCACCACAGACATCAAAGACCCCAAAAACCAATGGTCAATTTCACCTGGTTTGTCAAATACCCTCAAGGGAAAGACCAGGCTTTGGCATTCTGCTACCTCTCTTACATTTTTGTTCAAGTATTCCTTACTATCTTGATAGTTCATTGCTGGATTTATAAAGTATTTGTTGTCATTATTCATTTACCTAGTATTTTGAGCTGTTTGCAAAGGGAGGATCAGTTCAAGCAACTACTCTTCCATGATGCCTGAAACAGAAGCAGTGGACCATTCCTTCTTCAAGTACCTTCTTTCTCCAGATATCTTTTCCTGGAACTCCTGTCAACTGTCAGGATGGCCAGGTTCTCAATCTAACCTCCATCTCACCCTCTTTCTCTCACTGCCAACGCCTCAGCTTTAACTTCCAATTTTTAATCCCTTCTTTGACTGTAAATTATCATTATTTTTTTCTTCCAAATTTTATTTTGTCAATATACAATGTGGTTGATTATTGTGGCCCATTACTGAAACCTCCCTCCCTCCACCCTCTCCCCATTTCCTCCCAACAATCTCCTTTCTGTTCGCTTGTCGTATCAACTTCAAGGAATTGTAATTGTTGTGTCTTCTTCCCTCTCCCCGCTGCCGACTGTAAATTATTACTTAGCTCTTCTAGTGGGTTTCTTATTTTAATAACCATACTCTTTTATTTCCTAGATTTCTAATCAGTTCTTTATGTTTAATCCCTGTTCTTGAGTCGAGACCAGACCCTCTTTTATCTCTCTGATGATAAAACAAATGCTCGTTTTAAGCCTTTTAGGATGTTACTGTTTCAATTTCCTTGGGTATAAATTCTCCCACTTGTTGGGTTGTTGGCCATTCTTTAAGGCATAGAATTTTCCACGTTTTGTAATTTTAGAGTGCCCATGACACATGGTAGTTTTTGTTTTTCTCTTGTAGGGCAGTTTTTCTGTCAGGGAACCCCGGGTCATAAACTCAGAAGCACACTTTTCATTAGCTCTCTGGGCTCACGTGCTGTGGGATAACCCTACTCTCATCCCAGAGCTGGTGCCGAGTGGGAGCTTCGTTGCCAGTCACCAGGTATCCAAGTCCTCCCACTGCCACAGACAAGCATCCTGTTTCCAACTACAGTCCCAAGAGGTGCAGGGAGACTTTTCATCCTTTATCTTTAGAAAAGGAAGCCCAGGGGCTGGCCTGGTGGCGCACTGGAGAGTGCGCCACTTGGGAGCACGGTGGCGCTCCCGCCGAGGGTTCAGATCCCATGTGGAGACCAGTTCCCGCCCACTGGCTGAGCGCGGTGCGGGCGCAACACCAAGAATTGCGATCCCGTTGCCAGTCCCCGGTACGGGCGCGACACCAAGGGTTGCGATCCGGTTACCGGTCAGTAAAAAAAAGACAAAAAGGAAGAAAAAAAAGAAAAAAGAAAAGGAATCCCAGCTCCAGTCCTGACAACTGTGGGCAGGTTTGGTCCCCGTCCCTTGTGGGAATCAGAGTCCTGGACTTGTCTCACTGCTCAACGCAGCAGCTGGCCACCTACCACTTCAGCCCCCACTCACAGCTTCAAGTTTCTGCTCCTTTTCTACACAAGAATTACTTTCTGAGAGTAGTTTCATAATTTTAAGTTAAAAATTGGGTACGTGTGCTGGTCTGTGTGTGCACACTCTCACTCCACCTCTATGACCCGAGACCTCAGCACTGTGCACCAGAGCTGGGCCATTTTGTTTCTGGAACACAGTATGGAGGGAAGAACACACTGGATGACTCGGGGAAGGAGGCTCAAGAGGAAGGCCTGAAGGAAACTCAAGGGTGTAACCATCCTGGAGGAGATGAAATTCCGGTTGGCCACAGGTACCCAGAGTTAGAGATGATGTGGCTAGTCAGTCACCCTGGAGAACCAGCTCCACAAAGGTGGCTCATAGTCCTAAAGCCAGAACCCTGGGGGCCCAGAGTCCAAAACTACACCTGAAACCCAGCCTACAACATCCCGGTCTCTGGCAGAATGGATCATCCTTCCCCATGCAGGGGCCCCGTCCTATTTGAACCATACGAGGGGTCTTCAAAAAGTTCATGGAAAGATTTGTATTATCCTTTAATTCTATTTTTCCACAAACATTTTGAAGTACCCTCATGGTCTATCTCTGACTGGTGGAGCAGGAAGAGGGGGCTGCCTGGAGCTGGAAAAGGTGGGAAAGCAGTGCTGGGGACACAAATCAGGAGTGGCCCCGAGTGGAGGCCTGCCAGGGCCCAGTCTCTCCCTTCTCACTCTCACACTGTGAGGGAGTCCATGGAGGACCAGAGAAGGCACCTCTCCAGCTATCCCACTGACTCCTGCAAGGCCTAGGCCTACGGGAGGTCTTTTTTTTTTTTTTCCTTTTTGTCTTTTTCCGTGACCGGCAACGGATCGCAACCCTCAGTGTCGCGCCCGTACCGGACCGGGACCGGCAACGGGATCGCAACCCTCGGTGTTGCGCCCGCACCTCGCTCAGCCAGTGAGTGGCCGGTCTGTATGTGGGATCCGAACCCTCGGCGGGAGCGCCGCCACACTCCCAAGTGGCGCGCTGTAGCAGTGCACCACCGGGCCGGCCCGTACGGGAGGTCTTGAGAGAACTCTCTCTGACCCTGTCTCTATCACTCAAGGGTTTTCAAATGACTACCAGTGACTATGGACTGGGCCAGAATTTGGACCCAGAAGGTCATCCCTGGTCTTCTCCACCCCTCCAGCCTCAACATGCCCAGACCAACACAAGGGTCATTCATATTAGGCAACCACCCCTCCAGCCGACCTGTCTTACAGCCCAATCCCACAGCACCCCCAAGACCCAGGAAACATTTGACAAGTTTCTGCCACACACAAGGGTTTACTTGCCTCTACTTCCAGAGATTAAAAACAGTTCAATATAAATACATATGTACAGAACAGGTATGCCCACAGCTGTTGCTGGCTCCTCCCCCAATCAGGGAGGTAAGGGCTGCTCAGCAGAAAAGGTGCTGACCTCACTCCATGTAGGATGCAGACCTGACAGGGCAAGGAGTCAGTGCTCTGATGCCAAACTGGAGGCGATGACAAGCCCAGCCTGCATCCCTACCAAAGACCATCCACCTCCAGGACAGGCCCGACAGGCAGATAATGGGACAGGGCACACCTCAGTCAGAGTCGCAGGCCTCTTGTTCCGTGGTGGCGTCCACTGCAGAGGCTAGGCTGTCCTCCTGGCCTTTCAGCCTCTCACCTGGAATGAATGGCAGACTGAAGGGGTGGGGAGGGGCCCTGTGCTTGGGCCACCAACCAGAGGGCACAACCCCACCTTGCCAGGCCCTGCACTTACGGATCAGCTCAGCAATGGCCCGCTGGGTGCGCTTTTCTAGCTTCTCCAGCTTCTTAGCCACATCTCTCTTGAGGTCCCTGGAGCAGGGAGATGGGGGGAGGTGGGAGGCTGAAGGTTGGACTGGTGTGGCCTTGGGCCCCTCCTCCCCTGTAGTCCTCTGCTATTGGGAATCACACTTGGTTGCCTGAGGGAGCTGCCCTGGGAAGGAAGACAGGATGCTCCTCTCTCTTCCTTTCTGTGCCCTCCAAAACACAGCACTGGCCATCCTTCCTGGTCCCACTGAGGCAGGGGGACCAGCACCACAGACCCGACCAACGTGGGGGACTGAGCCAAAGGGTACAAGGCTGGATGGTTCCTCAGGGATCCTCTCCTGGTCTGGTCCCGTCTGTCACTGCTGGGATGATATGCCCCAGCCACTGTGGGCCCTGCTCCTCCTCCAGTCACAGGCTCACCCCAGCCACCGTGTGCTTCCAGAAATGCACATGCACTCAGCCTGTTCTCTCTGGCTCTAGGTTTCCTAGGACATATGCCCCATGCTTTTGTTTCATCAAATTACAATGCCCTCAGCTGGTGCTGCGCTAGACACTGGCTGCTCAGAATTGCAGGCGAGAGGGATACAGCCCCTCTCTGGCCAAAGTAAAGTGAGACACAAGCCTCTCAGCCCACAGCATCCTCTCTCACCCTCTTTCTCAGCCCAGTAAGAGAAGGCCTTTGGGTTGGAAGTCTTGGAGAAGGATGAGCAGCCCCATTTCACAGATGAGGAAACTGGGGCCAGCGGGGAACAAGCTAGTTGGTGGCAGAAAAGGGACAGAAACCTGTGTCTGCCATTCCCTCCATCCCATCTCCACCCTGTGGTCCCCCAAGGGCAAGGGTCAGCCTTGCTCAAATGGGACTCTCTGGAGCAGGGTGGCTTCTCACCCTTTCAGAAGGAGCGTCTTGAGGGGACTGCTGTCCGCCCTCTGCCTGAGACCCTCCCCGTGCCTCCCCTCCCACCACTGCATTTATGTCCTTGTCAGCACTTATTTCCAACAGTAGTTATCCTGTGTGGCTGCCCATCTGTGCTGCCTATCTCCTCGCTGTGAGGGTGTGAGGGACCCAGCCCAAGGCCCACCCCGGGCACCAAGAGCCCCCCAGTCAGTCTGTGCCCATACTGCGACACTCACCAATCGGGCTTCCGGGGTGCCAGGTTGGCCAGGTCCTGGGGGTGGGGACACACGTCAGGTTTAGAGGGGCCCAGTCCCAGGGCAGCGGGAAGGCAGAGCACAGAGACAGGAAAATGGGAGGGAAGGGGGACGAAGGCAAGTGGGAAGGTGGAAAGGGAATAAAGAAGCGGAGAGAGGGAAGGGGACAGAGGGACAGCAGTGGGGAAGGGGAAAGGGCCCGCAGGAGCAGGATCAGCAGCTGCGGGGAGAAGAGAGGGCCCCAGGCACACACCACTTCTTCAATGACCGGCTCTGGCTTGGCGGCCTCCAGCTGCTCCTTCACCTTCTCTTCCACTAGAGGGTGCAAGACAACAATGAGGCCCATTTCACAGGTGCTGCCACTGCAGGGACACTGCAAACTGTGGCCCAGGAGAGCGGGGACCCCAAGCTTCCCGGCTCCCACTTCTCTCCTTGGCCCCCAGCCAGCCAGAGGCAAAGCTCTGCAAAGGCAGCAATGGAGGAGGGACCTGGGCTTCCCAGGGTGAAGGTGGTCCCCACGAGCCAAGAAAAGGACAGTGGGAAGCAGCCAGCCCCAGGACAGGGCCCAGACCTCCAGGCAGGAAGCACAGATGCTAATCTCAGCCTCAGTCTCCCCGACTATGAAACAAGAGGGTTGCCTGGATAGATACAAAGTGTGGTTTTGTGAAAGGCCCTGAGAGCTGGCTTTTCCTATGACCCCAGGGGCTCCTGGGCCCTGGCCTGGCTGGACCCACAGGTGGCTCTTCTTCCCACCCCACCTAAAACCTATGCTACTGAGACCAGGGGACATGCACCTTCCAGCTGTGCCAAGCCACTGCCAGCACAGCAGGACTCTGAGCAGCCTGACCAGGAGGGTTTTGCCCCTGTGGGGACAGATGCTGGAAGCACTAATAACCACCCTGGGCTCGGTGGCCTTCCTCCAAGCCCCTCAAATCAGTGGCCCCATGAGCACCCTACCTGCCCTGCCTCACCTCCCTCCAGCTGCAAGTCTGGGGCTGCCTCCTGACCCTCCTCTGGTACCTTACTGGCCCCCCACCCTGTGCCACACCCCACCAGGTGGGCCACACCATGAAGCACATCAGCTGGACGTGTCTGGATTTTGGGGATGAAGCAGGGGGAAGCAGACCGGGATGTGGAAGAATGGACTTTACTTTTTTTACAAGATAAACATATTTATTCATTTATTACTGTATAATTAGAAGTTGATAACAAAAATAAAAGAATGAAAACTGAGAACTGCCAAGGGCTGGGGTCTGGTGCTGCCCCCATCCTCTGTATTAATGCTGCCCACCCGCTGCTCTCAGTGCCTGAATGGTTGGCTTCTTGGCAGGCACCCTCACTCTGACCCATCCAGGGCCACTTCCACTTCTTAGCCCAGAGGAATCCTCTGAAGGGAGGTGGCCTCAACCTCAGGGTGTGAGCAGAGCTGAGGAGGTACAGCAGGCCTCTTCAGTGCCCTGATGGCCTCTCTGCTGTTACCAGTGAGGGTCCTGAGGCCCAGCTCTGCCATGGCACTGTTGGTTGTTCCCCAAGAGAGGGTAACACCAGCTGAGGTGGAGGGGACCGACAGTGCAGAGGTGCAGAGGCAACCCACCTACCTGCAACTGGTTTGGCCTGGGGCACCCTCCTCCTCTTCAGGTCCTCATCCTCCGGGACATAGTTCCGCAGCCTGAGTTCCCTGTGAGAGCACAGAGAATGAGCAGAAGTAAAGCATATAACACAGTCTCAGGTACCTCCTACAACCTGCGAGTCGGGATGCAATGAATCTGCGCAGGGTGCTTACGTCCCGACTTTGCTCTGCTCCCCGGGGATGGCCTGGGGAAGAGGGAAAGCACAGCATGGAAGCACCATCAGGATAGGCCCCTCAGCTGCCCCTTCACAGCTGGCCTGGCTGCTCTCCAAAGGCCTGGCCCACAATGTAGGATCATGGTTCTCCTCCAGAGCTGGGGCCTTGAATGCCTGGAGAGCATCCACCAGGTGTCCCTCCTAGACTGTCTCCATTTGAAAGTTAAGGGAACTGAGGGTCAGAGAGACTGCTCCATTTTCATGAGGTCACACAGCAGTGGCTGCACATGTGAGACCAAGGCAAGGAGTGACTCCCAGCCACAGCCAGAGTTCCTGGGCTAAGTTATTCCTAAAAGAGAATGCCAGTGGTCACCCAATAGTTCCCCAAACCCTGCAGCCAATGCCGAGTAGTCCCTCAACTGTTAGTGGTCAAGGACATGTGTCAGTGAGCCAGGAGGAGTGACAGGGGACACATCCAGGGGGTACGACTGCCTACACCTGGTAGGGTGTGGAAGGGCTCCAGGAGTGGCAGGTGTCCAGGCCAGGGCCAAGGCACAAAGCACATGAGAGGCTGACCCACCCAGAGATTGCTGGGAGTGGCCCGTAAGGGCACTGCAAACAGGCGTAGCCGACTGCGAGGCTGGGAGAGCCACAGTCCACCTGGACAGTGGTGAGAACTGCACAGCCCCTGCCCCTGCAAGAGGTCTTTAGAATGCTACCAGGGCAGACCCCAAGACCCCACGAAGAGGAGGAACTATGAGAGGCCAGAATCACACAGCAGGAGCAGCAGCAGTGACCATGTTTTATTTTTCTCCTACCTCCATCTCCTCAGGCAGAGCTGGCTGCAAGAGCTCCCTGGGGTCCCCTGGCTTAGCGGTTCATCAAATCCCAACCCACACACTCTTAGGAGCTAGCTTGGGGAAAAGGGGGCCCAGCAAACTCCACGGGGCAGCAAGGTACAAGTTCCTGGTGCAAGACAGAGACGCTGGGACAGATATCTAGCCCTGAGGGGTGCAGAAGTAGCCCCTCGCATGCAGCCAGGTGAGACCGGGTGTGGGGCCTCCTCCTTCCCTACAACCTTTTACAGATCCTTGAACACTGGGCCCTGGAAGTCCTGGGCCTCCAGGGCAGGAAACAATTTCCCAACAGTCTGTCATCTACCAAGCCCTCTGTCTGCCAGGCAAAGGTGTGGCTGACTTCCTCAGCCCCAGGAAAGCAAGCTTTTCCAGAGCTGAGGCAGCTGATGTCTGTGGCACACAGCTAACAGGTGCAGTGATCTGAACCTGGGGACTTTCAGATGCCACAGTCATTCACCATTCAAGAGCTCCACATGCTCCCTCCCCCCAGCTCACACATCATCTCCTTCCCTCCTGCCAGGGCCCCTGGGTCTGGGCTGAGCCTGTGCCCAGGGTGGGGGTGGGGTGTAGTATCAGCATCACCTGTGTGCAGGAAGCCCACCCCACACTTCCAGAGCCTGCCTCCTAAGGAGAAGGGGCACCCCACCCTCTCTCCCCATACCCCAATGCCTGCCTCAGGCCTGGGGGTAAAAGTCAAGTCACTGAGGAACAAGGGGAGAAGAATGTGGGGCAAGATTTGGTGCAATGTTTTGACTTTCGTTCACAACAGGGTGGGGAGAAAAGAGGAAGAGAAACTGGGTGTGGGAAGAAAACTGCAGGGATTAGTAAGAAAAAAATAAAAAGTCACTCTCAGAAACTGGCTCTATGAGAAACTGGTAGGAGAAAGTCCAGTGGCAGCCACAAGTACCCATGCCTTCAGCTCCACCCTGCTGCCCATGGCTTCAGAAGGCCAGCCGAAATGAAGGAGGACACAGCAGGAAACAGGGAGAGGCCAGAAGCAAGAGAAGAGAGCAGCAGCCCTACCACCCACTGTCCCTTGCTTCACCCCTAGAGGTGAGCACTGGTCAAGCAGTCAAGAATACCCGGGTTCCAATCATTTTGGGATGGTCCCGTCTGGGCCTCAGTTTCCACATATGTAAACACAGAAGCTATGTTCAGTGTCTCCAGCTCTATCGAGCTATGTTCAGTGTGTGCCAGCCCTCCCTGACTCACTCTTTAAGAGCTAATGAAGGGCCGGCCCGTGGCTCACTCGGTAGAGTGCGGTGCTGATAACACCAAGGACCCGGGTTCAGATCCCATATAGGGATGGCCGGTTAGCTCACTGGCTGAGCGTGGTGCTGACAACACCAAGTCAAGGGTTAAGATCCCCTTACCCGGTCATCTTTTAAAAAAAAAAAAGAGCTAATGAAGATATTTCTTCTCCCTAATGCTCAATTAATCCCCCACCGCCCGCCTCCACCTCCACATCTGCCAAAGGGCAGGAGTCTCTGGGAGAGGTCATGGAGCACTGGGTTCTGTTGGAGGCCCGGCTTTCCCAACACAGGCACAAGATTTAACCCCTCTCTACTAACAATCGGGCAACTGTCATATTTTTTAAAAATCTATTTACTGGCCTTGGAGAAGTACCAAGACAACAAGAATTTCAGGGGCTGCAATCACAGAGATAAAGGAAGTACAACAAAGAGAGCTGGGCATCGCACACCTCTTTCCTCTTAAATTTGTCTATTTACAAACAGTGGCTGAAAAGCAGAGACTGAGCAGAGCTCTCTGCAATCTCACAGCACTAGAGAAAAGAAATTTGTGTTTAGGGCATCTGAAGAGTAGGGCCCTGGCAAGCTCCACAGGCTTTCCACAGGTCTATTGTGACCCCCCTCTTCACCCGCATCCTAAGAGCAAGGGTGAACCTGAAACAGACCACTCTTCCCAAGGACTGAAACATAGCTTTGGATCAGCACAGTCGCTGACTGGCCTGCCCTTTGGCAGAGGGGGCAATGTAACTGAGTACTGGTGAGAGGAAGTCATCAGTGCTGGAAGTGAGGTCAGGGTAGCCCTAGCTAACTGCCCACCATAAGGTAGAATAAATTCTGGAGGGAAATAAATTATCTAGAGCCTCAAATTATCTCTAAAATTTGTCATACACAATATCCAGGATTCAATCAAAACCATGAGTAAAAATAAACAGAAATACACTCACAGAAGATCCAGATATTGGAATTATCAGAAATGAAGTTTAAAATAATTGCAATTAATAAAACTTCAGGAAACTACGCCACAAGATAGAGAATTTCAGTAGAGGACTGGAAACTGTAAAAACTTAAATAAATCAACTGAAAAGCACAACAAAATTAAAAACTCAGGGCTGACCAGTTAGCTCAGTTGGTTAGAGAGCAGTGTTGTAACAACAAGGTCAAGGGTTCAGATCCCCAAACCGGACAGCTGGAAAAAAAAAAAAATTCAATAAATGGGCTTAATAGCAGTTTAGATACAGCTAAAGAAAGGATTAGTGAAATACGAGATATGACAGAAAATATCCAGACTAAGCTGCAGAGGAATAAAGTTGGAAAATACAGAAAAGATGTAAGAAACATATGGAATATGGTGAAAAGGCTAACATACATGTGCAGTAATTGGAATGTCAGAAGCAATATTCAAAAAAATAATGACTGAAAATTTTACAGAATTAAAGAATCATACAGAATTAACAAAAGAATTAATCATCAAACCAGATTAAAAAAAACACTATGAATCCCAAAGAAAAGCATACCTAGGCAAATCATTGTCAAACTACTAAAAAGCAAAGATAAAGAGAAATTCTTAAATTAAAAACACCCAACCTTAAAGGAGAAACTAAAACTGACAGGTGACTTCTCAACTGAAACTATGGAAACCATGAGACAATGGAATGATATTGGAAGTACAGAAAGAAAACAAAATGCCACACCAGAATTCTAAACCTAATTTAAAAGCTTTCAAGAGAAAGAGATTTCCAGACAAAAAAAGTTAGAAGAATTAGTCATCAGTGGATCTGATATTCAAAAAATACTAAAGGGCACCTTGTAACACAAAGGTCACAGGTTCAGATCCCCTTGCCAAAAAAAAAAAAAAAAAAAAAAAAAAAAGGGTGGGGGGAGTAATTTAGGCTGAAGGAAAACGATCTCAGATGGAAGCATAAAACTGCAGGAAGGAATAATATGCACCAGAAAGGGTAAATATGTACATAAATATAAATGAATTTTGACTGTGTAAAATAGTAATAATGACTTGTAGGATTTAAAATATAGCAACAATAGCACAAAAGGCAGAAAGAGTGGCAAATGGAATTAAAGTGTTCTGAGGTCCTAGCACTGTATGGGAAATGGAAAAAGCACTACCACTTTTTATTAGATGTTAGTAAGTTTAGGATGCATGTTGCTATCCCTATGGAAACTACTAAAAGAAAGGGAAAAGAGTATATAATTAACAAGTTAACAGAGGAAAGAAATGGAATTAAAAACAAAAAAGTCCAAAAAAGACTAGAACCGAGATAAAAAAGAAAAGTCAAGAAACAAATAAGTGACAGGCTTACACACAGAGTTGGCCCAGGTGCTATCCTGGGCTCTCCCAATACAGCCTCTAGAGCTGGCCACAGCTCTTGGAGACTGGGCAGGATGTGACACATGATGCCAGACAGACCTGCAGGACAGGCCAACACCCAACAAACTGGCCAGGAAACACTAAAGCTGCTGCACTCACTAGGCAGTCATTGGCATCTGGAAGCCACTCTTCTGGGGGCCACGGAAGGCAAATGCTGGTTCTTGCTATCCCCACTTTAGCATGAGACGGCTGTTGAGGGAAAGATGTGCTAGAGCCCTGGACTTCCAACAATGTGACCTGGGTCCAAATCCTATCTTTGATGTTTCTGAGACATAGAAAAGATCATGCCTTCATTGGCATCCATATGGAAATCTAGGACATCCATCTCTTATGAGTATGTATAGGGATGACACAGGTTGTCACACTAAACAGAGCTGTGCCCTACAGGACAGAGGTCTCACCT